TTTATGTTATGTCCATGATATGTCATGCCAAAATGTGCATGTTCGCAGATGTTTACTGTGCCAATAGCTTTCCCCCTTCATTGACTTGTTGCATGCAATTGTTTGGCTATCACACTATCCCATCTCCATTTGCCAGCACTATCAAGTTTAAATGCAGGAACTCGCTGCAGTGGCAACACAGCTGCCAGATGTCCGATGGCTCGGGCGACAGGTTTTCATGTGGTGCGGCACTCCACAGGAGGACAGTTCCTCACGGTATGCAAAGTTAAGCCAGACTTGGGGAGCAGCAGTTGGCAGATACGAGATGTAAATGATATAGCTGGGTCGGTGACGATTTGGGCGGCCAGAACACGAAACACCGCTTGATTTGCATGATGTACTTCGCAAGTAGGTTTTGGATGGTATGAGACTGCAAAGTAGCTCGTTAGAGTTGACTGTCAACCGTGAGGACTTGTGGAATGACTTTGCGGCCTTGCATCAAAACAAGATCACGGATTTAGAAAGGCTTGACCATCGCAACTACTTTGGTGAGACTCCTGGCATGAACCGTCAGCACATCCTCAAGTACACCCAAGGGAAGAGCGTTCTAGGAAAGAGGAAACTGACAAGCCTCCTGTTTGGTGACCGACTGTCTTCTTTGGATGCTCCGCGGTTTTTCTGCACGTGCTTTCACGCAAAGGGAGTGAGAAAGAGAGAGGGAGAGCGAGAATGCGAGAAATGGAGCAAGAAAGAAAGGGAGCAAGTGTGCGAGGGAGCGAGCGAGGAAGAGGAGAGGTGAGAGAAGAAAGAAGTGATAAGAGAGAAGAGAAGAGAGAACAGTTGGAGAGCTGCCAGTGTAGAAGATGTTAAGAACTAATTAATTTGGTTTAATGTGTTGCTTTTTGGGTTTCTCAGATTCATTGATAGGAGCCTTCATATGTTTTGCTCATTTTTGAGCCTCTCCCACTTCCACAGTGCCATACCGGAAACCTGATATTGCCGTGAATGTATTCTTGTGCTCAGGAAAGCCTTGCGATTCGGTGGTGTTGACATTGTTTTGCGTACCCTTGCCCTGTTTCGAGCTGATGAGCGTGTTGGCTATCATGGTGTCGTCTCTTTGTTCACAGAGCCTTTGCAAGGAAGAGCACGCTCGACTCTTGGGTTTGAAAGACTGGCACACCATACTGGATGTAAAGATCAGAGTTTTGTTTCTTCGGGGAGTTGAATCGGAGGAATATGCCAGGAGGCATCCTTTGCACGAGACACAACACACAGCACCACTGAGTGAGCGAGAGCCCAGGATACTGCATTATGCTGCTCGCACCGAGTTTTTCTTGCACCGGCAGAACTTTGCCAAGCACATTGCTCCGAGACTTGAAGGCTGTTCGAGCAAAGAACCTGATTGCCTTTCTCCTCAGCGGAAGCTTTGACAGCACATGTTCATTTACTCTATTTTGTCAGGTATCATGCTGGTGAAGTGATGCAAGGTGCTTCAGATTTTCGTGTTTGGGCCACGATGTGCTTTGGAGTCGTGGGGTCAACTCCCCCTCATGGTGCAAAAAGTCCATGCTAAGGATTGCCAATACCATGCACCTCAACTTGTTTCAGTCAGTGTTCTTTTTTGTTTGCATGCGGCACATTGGGCAAGAGCCACTGGCCACGGGGCAACGCTCAGCCGTGATGACTTAGTCAACTGAGGCTGGTTTTGGTAGCACCCCCGCAGACACCTCGAAAGCTTCTGGCTTTTCGCTTGGTCATGAACCGTATTTGGGCAGAAGCTAATGGAGAAAGAGACAGGCGAATGTTTGGCAGTGACCAATCCTGAAGTCAATGAAGTTGTTGCATCACCGAATACATGATATAGAATGATATCGTACATGTATGTTTGACTTGACCATATATGTATATATTATATTATATACATATATTCATGTGGGAGCTGCCGCTTGTGCCATGTGTTCCATGTGTTTTGTATTTGTGCCTGTGCCCTGCATACTGAGCACAGTTTGCATGGGCTCAGGATTCGGAGCTTTTCTTGCTGCATCTATGGACGACATGGCATGCAGCTGCTTGATTGATGGTTGCTTGTTGCTTGTTATCTTTCAACTGGCCAGATTGGGGCTAGATTCCCAAGTATTTGAGTGCACAGCTTGGACAGTTTAGAGTTTGCAACAACTTGCAGATTTCGAAGTGGGGAATCGGAGGAGGGCTGCAAGAATGCAAGCTTCCAAGGTATATGCAGCACGTCCACAGGTTGGGAAGAAGTCTTTTGCAACGCAGACATTCGTGGCGCCGCCCGTGTTCTTTGGCACTTGTGCGAGGACCCGCAGATGCAATGAGCCCTGAATTGGTTTGCTGTTGAACTGGTGTTGGCACGAGGTCTTTCTAGGGATCCTGGTTAGAGAATGCTTAGACTTTGACTTTCAAGCTCGGGGTTCATTTTTGGTGGTTTTGTTCTTCATGTATATAGTGGTTGAAGTTGATCCCATAGTAGCGTCGCTGTCGCCATTCTCATAGTCACAGTCATGAGATCATGGGCGAAGTTTGGTGCCTTTGAATCGAATGACAACGGTCTCAGCATGGGCACATTCGGAGGGATGCCTTTGTGGTTGGTTGCAGAGTGTGGCCACATCTCCACCATCACTCTTTGTTTGAGCAATTTGTCCGGCATACACGATTCCAGTCCACCATAAATACAGTAAAGGGGTGTGAAGGGACCATAGCATGGCGCGGAATGAAATTGGTTGTCAGACTGTCAGATGCACCTTGTAAGCTGGAGTAGCTGCAAGATCTCCAGTTTCGGAGTCCCTTACAATGTTAATGTTAAAATCTAAAATGGTATTCTATGGATATGGTGAATGATGATGCCAGGACAATGGCCCAGCGTTTCCTCCAAGAGGTCGAGGGTCCAGGTGTCACGCAGAGATGCTTTTGGAGGCCCGGCACCAATCGAGCATGATAGACTCATCAGAATTGCGCAGACTAAAATGGGTACTGTAGTCATTGGCCCAAGCCAAAATGAATGGCAATAGGCATTGGGACACATTCTGTAGGCGCAGAACCTGCAGCTTGTACGTCCATTGGATGCCTTTGAGCTGGAGCTAGAAGGGTCTACCGCGCAGGACGTATATATATATATATACATATAACTTTATCGAATTTGCAACTGTATGATTATATATAATTGTTCTTCATGTTTGGCTGATTGCCTGTTGAAGACTTGCATTGCACCACACAACTAGGCAACAGGATGCAACAGGTATGTGTGATGCCTGTGGCAAGCAGGACCCGCTAGTGGGCGAAAGTTATTCCTTCCGCAAGCTTGCGCAAGCCCCGGATAGACGGTTGCCAGCATGAACTATATCCAGCTCAATTCTGCCTCAGGTGCAGCGCTGCATAGCCCGCCGTGCCTTTGAAAACGCTGGCCTAAAGCTTCTGTGTGAGGAGAGGGTTTGTATCATCATTCCCGTGGGGCGGTTTCCCCAATTTGGTCTTGCTTTTTCCCCACATGTCAGGTCAAGTTTTTCAGATGTTTAAAACTAGTTTTCTTCCTCCTTCCTCCCTCCCTCCCTCCCGCCCGCCCGCCCTCCCTCCTGCCGGACCTCACAGCAAGCGCCAGATCGCAGTGGCCAGTCTCGGACCTCAACAGCAAGCGTCAGATCACAGTGGGCGCTCACAACCACAAAAACAATCACAACCACACAGCCACAAACATACAGCCACAGTACACGCAAACACACAACCGCAAACACACAAGCACAAGAACACAAGCATCGCACACAACAACAGCACAAGCACCAGCACACAACCACGACACACAACCACAAACACACAACCACACAAATGTGGCACTTTGCCTGGAAGGTGATCACTGGGTAGCGCTTTTGGATGCCAACTGGAGACCCTGGCAGCACCCCGGCGCGAACTCCTTAACACTAAAATAGCAATCCAAAGCCCGAGGGCCCACAAGCAAAGTCAAAAAGTCGAAAGCCACAAAGCCCACGACCATGGCAGCATGCTCCTCACCATGGCACGAAAACAAATGATTGAAATGTCATGGTGGGGATCACTCAAAGTAAAGTATTTTTGGGCAATTGTTGAGCAAGAGGTATCTCCTAAGAAGATTGCCTAATTATTGCTTACCCCATTGCATTGTCAGTAGCTTGGGGCTTCTGTGTGCTTTCAAAAGGCACTTGTTGAAGATTCGCTTGCCGGGTTCATGTCGGTCGCGTAGGCTGTTGGCCTTGCCTTTCATCCTTTGCCAGAAGGGCCAGAAGAGGCGTGCAGCGTAGAAGATAAGTGTCGTTGAAAAACGAACTGAGAAACTGAAGGCGCTCTATATGACTACTTGTATAAGTATATGTATATACATATATATTGATATAGCCGCAACGTTCGTCATTGTGCAAGATGTAGTATGTATTGGAGCCTGCTGAGACATGCCACGCCGCGTTAGTCTACATAGTTGCTGAGTTTACTGATCCTTGTTGGGTCGCACTTCAGACGTGTTCGTCCTTGTATTGCCTCGTGGTGCATCTAGTAACGCACACGTTTTCCAACTTCATTTTCGAGCAGTTACATGTCGCACGTATCCTTCAGACGCAATCGCCCAAGATAGAAGGGGCCAGAATCATTTGCAAAAAGAGAAGTGGAGGGCGAGAGAAACGAATTGGTGAATGGGACACTTTGCAATCCGAACCTGTTTGTTTCGCAGGATGCTCTCAGAATAGCAACAGAGCAGGAGAATCAAGCGGTTTTCGCGTTAAGCCTTACCTGCACGCACATGGCAGAGGAGCACCTGTGACTTTTGAAATTTGGTTTTGTGCGCAACTGTTGTATTCAGCTGCTTCTTGCATTTGGAAATGCTTACTTGACCTTGTTGGGCCACAGATGGCAGGACCTTCGTGCGTCAAAGCGAAGCAGGGATTGCCTTTGACAAAATTGACCGAACTGAACTGATCCAGATTGCACAGAACACTTACTGATCTAGTGTTGACGTAGCGACCATCTCCCCAGCGCAGGCTCCGGTCACCTGACGGCACAAGATCTCAGCGTGATGGCGCAAACATTTTGGTTTGAAACTCGGCCCATCACTGTGGAAGTCAATCGTCACGTTCCAGGTGACCCGGAATGGCAGTTCACGTAGCAATACTACCGAAGAACGCCGTTGCCTCGCTAGGCCTGAACTGACTCAAGATGAGCTCCGAGATTTGTTTCAAAGTGTGTGCCGCAACAGGTCAGGCAATGGGCTCAGCCTCGATGTCAATGTCAAATTGTAACTGCATGGCTGCATGGCTTATCATGGCCTCATAACCTGAGAAGGACCTGTTTTTGGACTCCGAGGATATATAGAAATGGCCGAGTTTTGCGCAGCGTTGGGGTTCGACGAGCGCAGCACATATTTTGGCGCAGAGGCATTAAGGCGTGGTGAATTCAACCGAGTTGTATTGCAGTGATAGTTTGCAATGTTTTCGAGACAGAATACACGATTTTTCAAATGATTCCAGTTTAGATTTCCTGTTCTATGAAATGGGGTGTGTCTCGAGGCCACTATGTTTGGTATTTTAGAGTGCTGCAGCAAAATGGGGCCGCATCGTGTGGCAAAACCCATTTTGTATTACTGTAATGTTGATATATACATAGACATAGACGTGAGGTTGGGACGTAGCGTAATGAAGATTTTGCAGATGACTTTGACCCACTTGCAAATCTTAGATTGGAATTTGAAGAGACCTAAAAACATATCAAAACACATCAGCATGGTATGTCAAGGCCATATCGTTTTGAGCCATTTTGTCGAATCTTTCCATCATGATCCAACATGACTGTTGGGTGCTCACCATTAACTGTAGTGCAATGTTCCTCTTCATTCAATAATTTTGTTTATGTATGTTGGATTCAAGCATCTTGTAGTCAAGGAGGGCCGGGTCCTTGCGAGATGTAAATTTGGGGTGGGGTCCCTCATTCTCTTGTGCTACAGAATTCACTTCTCGACCCCTCCACCTTAACTCGAATGGGGACGTCAACGGGAGTTCAGTTAAGACTTCAAAGCTGCAAACAAATAACATAGCAGAGAATGTGTATCCTTTGAAGTTGCAGTCCGTTGCAGTACGCAAACTTAGTAAACTCTGCGTGTACGCATGCTTTCCCTCAATAATTGAATTGCTTGTCTCTTTTGAGCGTCCTGTGATCAGGTCTCTCTCCAAGCTGGACGGTGCTTTGCAAGTTCTTCTGGACCGAGTTCGCATTTCAGTGCTTGAGGCCATAGCTGAGGGAAAATCTTACTTTGAACTCACAAGATACATAGTACATCGCACGTGTTCGAGCAAGTTTCAAGGGCATGTCATACAGTAGTCGGAGTCGGTGCTGATAGTTATACATGCCCAGTCACATGCCATCTCTTGCTTAATTTTAACCAGAGCTTGTAAAAGTAACACCTGTCACCTGTACATGTACATACTACATACACTTTTCATTCATGCACCATGTTGTTGTTTACGTTTTTTTGGTAACATGGGAAACCTGTCTTTGTTGACGTCATCATATTCTCAATGCAGCGACTACCAAATGCAGACACTCAGACCCAAGAGCACGTTGCAAAGCCTGAATGCACGGCATTTGTTGGTGAACGGAGATTCTTCAAAATGCTGGCTGCCATGGCTGGCATGAGTTCATGGAATTCCTCTTGGCTGATAGTGCTGGCGAGATTTGCCGCTATCCTTGGAGCACGGATGTTGACGAACGAGTAGTTACCTCAGCGGAATTGATTCAATAGCTATTCAAACTCCAGAAGAAGAATGAGCAAAGGGAAAAAGTTAATATATATATATATGTGTGTGTGTAAAAATATGCATGAATGACTCCTAAGCTGTCCAGAGTGTTCTTGTGTTTGCAGTTTGCACCAGTTTGCCATTGTTTCTCAGGCCCTTGTCCTCTACCAGGCGGTGAATGCCCGTGGCCTTCCGACTCCAAGACAAGAGAATACTGTAGGTAAGGATTGTTATGATTCAGTAAGGGTCCCTTTATATCCCTTAAGTATAGCCACCCGTACAGAGGCTTCAAAGAGGGGCCCTTAACCCTTACCTTCTGCCCTTTCTTTGATGATTTGCGTCCTGAAGACCCCATACTACGGCGAATCAGCACGTGCTTGACGGGCATTTACATGTGCATACATGTGCTTTCCACTTGTAGACTGTGCAAGGTCGCTCATGCCGCCTCTTCCATGGCCACAGGGAATTGATTCTAGGCAACAACTCCCAGTTGAACTGTGAAGAGTGTGTTTGATTGGTGGTTGTTTGTCGCAGGGGTGTTTGTAGAGCATGTTGCCTTCGCGTCACGACATGCACAGATGACAATCCTAGGAAGCCCTACCATTGGCTGAGCACTCTTGATGCAAAGTTGGGCCGCAGAGCTGCAGTTGAAAGTTGAAAGTGACCATTTTGGCTTGAAAAACATGCAGCTCATTGCCATGGCTATGACAGCAATGTCGATTGTGAAGGGCGTACTAGATGCCCGGAAGTATGAGTAAAGAGCAAACTGTTGCATCACCAAGGTTCATTGATGTATGTAGCCAAGGTTCATTGATCCAAGTGGTTTGGACTGGAAACGCTCAGAGCGTCCGACATGAGCGTGCATTCGCTGCAGTCAAGTGCCATGGCGAACTCCGTGACTGAGAGTCCAAGCTTTCAACAAAAAGTGAAAAGGGTACTAGTGTATACTGTAAGATTTGATTGAGCAGCATGTGCTTCTCTCAGTCTAGGTCAGACGTCGACAACACTGTGGTAACGTGGGGTGACACAGAGTGGGGAGGAGACTCGTCCAAAGTTCAGCAGCGGCTGAAGAAGGGAGCGACCCAGGCACGAGCCGGGACGTGCTTGGACATGTGGAGACTACACCCGTGATTCCACGGCACAGGTCAGCACACTGCGCGGAGAGTAAGTCCACTTGAGATTTAAATGACGGAGCTGGTTTGATCCCCCTTGCCTAGCAGAGTTTTTTGGGGCTGTCCCCAGCCAAGGTTCGTAAAGCTTAGGCTTCCACGAAGGTGTCAATTCTATACATGTGAAAGTTTGAGACTGCGGGGCGGAGTGCCCCACCGCTACACATGTTATTTTCAAATACCTTCTGGCCAATTCAACAACATCAAAAAGTCGTTGCATCATCATCATCATCATCATCATCATCATCATCATCATCATTCTTTCCTGACGCTTTGCATCCAGCAGATAGGGTGGACCTCTCCGGTCGGAGCCCTCAAAATGGCCCCACAGATCAGATTGCGCAGAGGATTGCAGCCAGGTGTTGCTTAGCCTGGGTCTGCCAAAGTCCTCGCCAAAAGAGGTGCAGAACAGCATGCTGCAGCAAACATGGGCGTCTATGTTTATCCCATTTCCCTGCCACATAAAAGTATGGTTGACAGGCACAAACACGTGTTGGCTGGGCCTGTGATCTAATGATTTGCAGTGCCTTGCCCCTCAGGGGCTCAGCGAGCCCCGGAGAAGCGTTCTCCTCCAGATGCATCAACATGTTTGGTGGCCAGCGGCTGCGGCGATGTCAAAGCCATCCAGCATTCGCTCCCAGTCCTTTGCCCTAGCAGTACCTTAGATTGCTGGCCATCTGATCCTGACCGAGTCAAGGAGTGTCCTCCAGCGGCACTGGCGAAGGTCCCACCCTGAGAGTCTTAGCGTTCTCTGCGTTGAAGCTAGCGCAGCGGTTGGTGTTAATGTGGTGCCTCGGAGCAGTGATTCTTGTTGGGCTTCGGAAGCAACCCAGCCGCTACGCCACTCAGCCGGGATAGCGCCTTGAGCACGAGAAAGGGCCGTGCTGATACACGTGCTGAGGTGTCATCCTCAGTCGATGCCAGGAGAGTGGACCGTCGGAAGGTTTTGCAGGCTCGACGGAGGAGCTAGGTTAATGCTGTCTCTTCCTGACCATCACCATCCCGGCATCGACTGAGGATGTAGTAAATGTAGTTGTTGAGGGCAATGAGACCTTGTTCTTGAAGTATGGTACCAAACTGCGAAGCATCTTTGCTCTTCGCAGTTTGGTACCATACTTCAATAACAAGGTCTGATTGCGCTCAATTTGCGCTTGGTTCCAGTGCTGCGTCCATGAATGAAAGGTCTTGAAGTTCACCAATCCAAAATTACCTGTCAATGGAGTCAAGGTCAAAGTCTCCAGTCAGAAAAAAACAAAATCCTGTTGTGAATACTGCGCACTGTCTTGTCCAAGAGGGGCCATAGTGAAGCTCTAGAAGTCAAATTGTCCTGCAAGTTGCTTAGCCAATGACAAGGTGCATTAGCTCCAAGTCAAAATGGACATCCTTTATCGTTTGGTCCGTCCAGGTCGGTCCTGTTCGAGGGCCCAGCTGAGCCGTGAGCCATTGACCTCTTTACCAAGTGACACCGTTCCATGTGGCATTGCATTCTTGATAGCTCGCACATAAGCTCTCTTGCAGGGTCTGTGTTTGTTGTTCCTATGTGGATCTGTTTGAGCCAGGTCGTTCCCCTAAGTGAGGCATGATGTTCGAGATGAGTATAAGGGCCATGTCAGAATGTGTGGCAGGCCTGACACCCTCCTCGGGCCACCACTCACGTCCTTCTGTCATAGTTGATGACTTGACATCGTCGATGGGACCTGGCTTAGGGCTTGAGGTGCTTGTTCTTGGGCTTCCTGATCAATGCCTGCATGAAGAAGAGCCAGGAGAGCTGTGGTAGTCCTTGGCGAACAGCCTGGCTAAAGAGGGGGTGTTGCAGCGTGAGATGAGCGCGAGGAAGTCGAGAAGCTCGAGCGCAGGATCAGACAAGGTGTCGACAAGCTCGAGGTGAGGCCTGATCAGGACGAGGAGGAGGAGAGAGGCCAGCAGCGCAAGTTAAGGTTGAGCAGGGTCGGGCGCACAAGCGCCGGACCACGTTGATCAGGAAGGCCACTCCATGACAGCAAAGCGTTTGAGCACGAGTGGCCTTTATCATCATCATCGTCCTCGTGCTCTTCCTCGTCCTCCTCGTCGTCGTTTGATGTCATGATGGCAGTTTGTGTTGGACGCACTGGGATGATGCTTCATGTTGGCTATTTTGGCAGTTTTGTGTCGTCATGTCAGTTTGATTTTCAAATTGCATAAACGTAGTTTTTTTCAACGCGCGCAAAGTGTTCTTTGAATACATAAAAAACAAACGTTTCCCTGCGAAGCCTGTGCTTATGAGGCTTTCATTTTTTTGGGTGACCTTTCGCGAGCGGGGTGACTATACCACGGGGATATGATATGTGATTTCTCGCCGACATGTGTAACTTAACCTTCCGCTTGACGATTTTACAATAATATCTTATCGGCGTCACTATCGACGTCAACATGTCCTTTAATAGAATGGGTGGCCTCAAGGCCCATGTAACAGCGTTTGTTGAATATGCAGATGACCTTTAAGCCAGTGTTTTTGTAGTATCCAAAGGAAAATGACGTTTGGGCCTGTAACTTTGTAAGGGCTTTGTGGTGGAAGAATTAATATGTGTCAACCTTGATGCTTTGGATTTTGTAACAGGGGCATTTCGCGCGAGAGCCTGTCATTTTGTAATGTTCTTGTATGCCTTTGAAGAAATAACTATAACGTTTTCATGTGTTGTTTGCAGGTTTGGAAGCAACAGCTCGCACCAAGATCATGCAACATGCACAAAACATATCAAAGAAAAACACCATACGGCCATATAGAATCACGGGACCGAACATCATTATTTCTATTTTTTGGGGTCCCAGCACCAGTGGCAACAAATTTGCAGACTACCACCCCTACATACCCCTACTATTTTTTATTTATGTTAATTCATTATAGTGATTCCTCAGGGAATATAATATAACAAACCACAAGAATCTTTATTACAGAACAGTTTTTGACTAAGGGACTGGTGCTGCCCAGTATGTGCATTTAATTCGATGCGCAGTTTGTGCAGGTCTTTGGCACGTTCGGCGCATTTGAGGTTACCAGCGAGGACACTGCTTTGTTCGTAATTGTGTTCTGCTGCCGGTTGGCTGGGTATACCGTACAGTACATATATATATATAATCAGTTTTCGGTGCCTGCGATGAGTGCTTCCTCCTTTCGGGTTAAAACGCCACCATGGGCAAATCATTAGATGTTTGCATGTAAGTTGGTGTATGTCTTCACAGCATCACTGAATCCGGCAATTCTTTAGCTGGACGTGTAGCCTTGGGCAGACTGAGAGCCAACCGTGACACCTGGGGGATCGGTCAATAGTGCAGAATGCCTTGCGGCTCGCGCAATGATCAACCCTGAAGGAAGTTCAGCAATGCAAAAGCGCTTTTGCAGCTACCAAGGCACAGCACCTCCCATTGCAGTTGCTACGTACGTTGCGGTGTTTCATTTGTTGATGATGCCAACGTATGGATCAATTGATTGTCAACGGATGTTCATGCATGTTCAAAGTTGGGATACGAGTATCTCCAGCACAATGTCGTCTCCCATAATCTTTTGAGCCTATGCCTACACTACCGGCACTCTATCTCAAATGGCAAATGGACTCCAACAGCCAGAGCGAAAGTCCTTGAGTGGAGTGTATACTGTGTACGTTTGTATTGTTTGTTTGAATTCTGAATTGCCCTTTTCATTCAATTCTGCGCACGACGCACTGAAAATCCCCTGAAGGCCAACGGCCTGAGACCCAGGATGTGCAGACCATTAAATCTGTTTTGAACATTGCATTGTAGCTTATGTATGCTTATGTGGTTTGAGTATGTTTGTGATGTCGGCTCCAGTATAATCAACCCCCGAGATGTTTTCTTATTTGGCAGGATGTCATAAGGGCAATGTGTATTTAATTGGGAGGTCAATCAGGAGAGGTCACCAAGACTAAATCTTTTCATGAGGAGTACTGTAAAACGCGGCAGACTGACTAAATCTCTTCATGATGAGAGGTCACCAAGACTAAAGCGAAAACGTAATTTGTTAGCTGGTGAACTGTTTCTTAGATAAATTGTTTGGGGTGGCTTTGGGATGTTGAGGGGGGTTGCGGTAAGGTTTAGACTGCAGCCATGCAAATGACTGATAGAGACTTCAGTGAGTCTTAGGTTAAGTCCTATGTCAGGGAGATGATAGATAAGGTTATGAATCATGAAGGATGGCATGAGGCAGGTGGCTGGGACCAGTGAGACACTGGCCATGAAGACAGAGTATTGACCATGCCATGGAGAAGATGATTCTTCTGTGGGTGTGTGCGGCAAATTCCGCACATATCCGCCAATTTTGGCAAATAAGCTTCACTGAACAGGCAATGCCAAAGGCATGAGCCAGGACCAAGAAGGTGCTAGAATTGAATTGGAAAAAGTCATTTTCTGTGAACCCCTAGTATGTAACAGCATTCACTACATGTCTATCTAGCTAGCTACGGTTCACCAAGGTACATGAAACATTGTACCCGACCGTCGCTTGCATTGGCTCAAGAAAACACTGCCCCTTGCGGTCGTTTTCTTCAGGGTGCCGTACGGGACGACCTGTGGTCGTTCGTACTTTCGCTTTTGCTTTGCACCTTTCGTCGCATCTCGCACTTTCGTTCGTTCGATTGCTCGCCCGCTCTCGTTCGTTCGCCCCTTTGCAACCACGGGTTCTCGTCCTTCGGACTCGCCCAGGGTTGTAATTAATATAGACCGTGCTTCCAGGGATCTGGCATACTTCTTCTACCACCTTCCGGTTGAGAGGGTTGCCTGGGCGTTTCCCTACGCCCCACCTGGTTTGTACACTCAATTGGTTATCAGCCGTAGCCGTGAGCTACAGGCATCATCACTCGACCCCATCCAGTGGTCCGTTGCAGCACGCTTTTCGCACCTGCATAGGACACCAATGGGTCGTGTCAACCCCCAGCCGCAAGCAATCGGCGCCGCTGCCTCTTCATCGGCTGCAGCACCAGCCACGGCGCCTGCTGGGGACCCTCAGGATCAAGAAGCATCCGCTTCCCCTGAGGGTGTGGTCGGAACCGCGCCTAGCGCGGAGACCACGGACCAAGAGTTTGGGGAGGCCGTGCAACCACCCCTTACTCCCCGTGTCGCTTCAGGCATTTCGTCCTCCCAACCGACATTCACGCCTCAGGGTTCAGAAGCCGCCGAGGCGGAGGAGGTCGATAACCCTCAACCAGAAGAGCCTGTCGCAGAGCCGACCACCATCGAGTTGCCTCCAGAGACCAGCACACTTGGTTCTCTTGACGACGAAGCCCCTCTTGTTGAAGCAGAGCTCCAGACCGGAACCGCTGCTTCGCGCGGAGAGGTCTCGCCAGCTCAAGACGGCACGTTAGGCCCAGCTAACGCCGACGAGCTGCCCTTCGATGTCTTTTCGTTGTTAGGCCCACCTAAAATAGAGCCCACAGCCAAGGAGGAAGCAGAGGAAGAAGTTTATGCCGATCCCTCAACCTCCCCTGTAGGCCTACCTCCACTGCATACTCATAATCATCCAACGCAGTTCGAATCATTGGCCACCGATCCGGTCTTTGACGAGACTGAGGTTGACTTTGGAGACGAAGAGCCAGGCGACGACCCTGATGATCAGGCGGAGCCCGCTCCCAAAGAAGAGCAGCAGGAAGGGGAAGAGGCTGACGACGAAACCGCGCCTGGCGCGGAGACATCACAAACAACTTCCGCAGCCGTGGATCCTCAGCCGAAGCGTACGCGCGGCGCGAGGGGAGGCCAAAAACACCAGTTCGAACAGTCCGACAAGAAGTACGCTCTCACATGTGATCTT